GTAGATTGCCCAACCTTCCTTCCAAGGAGTGGCTGGTGGGTTTGAACTGCCAGCCTTCTGGTTAGCAGTCAAGTGCCTTAGGCACTACGCCACCAGGGGTCTTAAGAGTATGGTTAGTGGATCTAAATTGCTTGGGTTCAAATCTCAGCTTTAACATTTACTACCAGTGTGTGCCTTTGTTTCCTAGTCTATAAAATACAGTTAAACCTCCTTACAAGATTATGATGAGAATGAAATGAGTAAAACCTGACAAACATACCAAACACTAAATAAGTTTTAAACATTTTAGTTTATATAATTATAAGAAATTAAAATAAAAATTTCAAAGCATTTTTATTTTGATGGCTCTAAGATTTTAGTCACAGACTCACTTTTTGGTTCAGATAATGAGCATCAGATGCCAGAATGTATCCTCTGTGGTTTTAGCATTTGATATTCAAGGAATCTTCACTCAGGTGCATGCTTTGAATTGACATACTATGATCTTAGTACTTGTAAAAACATTGCTTCTAGAAAAAAAGAATAAAGGAAAAGAAATGAAACAAGTGGAGAAAAGAGATTTTAGACACTATACTTTGGAACTAAGTGTTGGCACTGTTCAGAAACGAGGGCAGGTGTCTGTTAATCTTGAGTTCTTTCCAGAAATTGAACCTCAACGGTAACAGTCAGGAAAAGAAGATTTTTTATTTATTTGTTTAATTTCCTTAGCAGGGAGGTAAGAGAGAAATACGGGTGTCGGGGGCGGGGAGGAGACATGCTTTTCTCCCATACTATTCATTTAACTCTTGTTTAAAAAAGTATTTTGAGTTTATCATAAAACTTTGAAAAACATTTTTTGCTTTTCTTTTCTAAGTGTTTTTCTTCCATACAGGAACTTTGCATTGATGGCGACTAATTTGTGTGTTTTTCTTTTTTTTTTTCTTTTTTTCTTTTTGCATGCTGTCCCCTGTGTTGGAACTCTCAATAGAGAGTAAGTTGGTTCAGTATTTGTTGGAAACCTAACTTTACTGCATGACTGTGAAATTAACCCTTTTTCTCTGTTTTCTCTCCCGAAGAGTTCGTGCAGCATTGGATCCTTTGCAATCCACGAAACGCTATTTGCAGTTATGCAACTGTCATTCTGTTTGGAGTTGTGCTTTTTTAATCTACTAATTAATCTAATTTGATTTTGTTCTTCTGTTCTATATTTGATGGCTGGCACACCTAAGATATAAGAGAGTTTAAGAAAAAGCTGCCTCAATTGTAATAGCTCAGACTTTTTACTTCTTTTCACTGAAGTGAGATGCATGAAATTATAAATTATCTTCAGAATTACCTACTTTAAAACACAATTATTAGGTTTTACAGTTGTTTTTTAAAAAAATTAGACAAGCAATTTCAGTGATTCTCAATTTTCTATTCTGAAATAAAGTTTTTATCCTTAGTATTATATTAATATATAAGGAAATAGCAACATCTGATAGTGAACTTTTTGTGGTAGAGCAATCATATGAGAAATTTTGTGTGAAATTCCTAACACACAGTTTGAAGATATATTTCATGTATATACATGTATATATATGTGTGTATAGGTATATGAAAACTTAGTATAAAAGGTAAAATTATTTAGTATAAGTACCATTGACAGGATACAAGTTTTTTAAAAAATAATCCTGTATATGTTGTTGTTGTTGTTATGTGCCGTTGAGTCGGACCTGACTCATAGCGACCCCTCCTTGTGTTTCTGAGGCAGTATCACTACGGAAGTAGATTGCCCCATCTTCCTTCTGAGGAGTGGCTGGTGGGTTTGAACCACCAGCCTTCTGGTTAGCAGTCAAGTGCCTTAGGTTCTACGCTACCAGAGCTCCCAATCCTGTATATAGAGTACTATAAATAGCATGACTACATTTTTTTAACCCACTATATTCACATTATATCTAACCAAAAGAAATTTCTACTTAGAGAAGTCTTATTGAAAAAAAGAATAGTTCAGATCTTGACATGGACATAAACTTTGGGTATGTCAACATGAAAAGAAAGAGCCTTTCAGAATGGTCATCATTAGCCCAGAGAAAGAAATTGGGCAATGCCAGAAAGTTTCTAGGAAAGAGGAAAAGGTTTTTCTTGGCTGAAATGAAGAGAAATGTTTATGCATCCTTTTTCTTTCTCTTTTTTTTTTAAAGAATTTTCCCCTACTCATCCTTTGAACAACATTTTATTGGGTCCTCAGCCTCTGATAACTTAGAGCTTGCTTCTGATTGGGTGGGAGTTAAGAGAATCTGCATTATGATTGGTAGTCGTGTTGAAGCAGACTCCACCTTAGGTCTAAAAGGTAGAAAACAAAGTATTCATAGGTTCTACTTTTAAAAATATGGAGCATCTTGAGCAAGTTGCTTAAGTGAATTTTTTACTTTCTAACTCAGATTCAGATGTTAAAATTTAGTTAAAAATCTGATAGAGAATTTGTATTTCTCTATTTCTTACATAGAAGAAAAACATGAAGTTCATGTATAATTGTATAAAGAAAATTTAAGAAATAAAGCAAACATGGAGAACAAAATTCTTTTAAATCACAAATTAACAGTTACTTTTAACATTATCTACTTTAAAAAAACCATAATTTATGAAACATTTTTATAATCAATTGTGATTATAATTTCTCTCATAGCATAGCTGACATTGTCTTTAGACAATTACTTACCTAAAAATTATTTGCCTAGAAGTAAATTTTCCATTATGGTGTTGAGTTTCTTATACAGTGTCATAAGTTGCTAAGTATTTTAACAAGATAGATCACTTATGAATAATAGATTCCCTTCATGTTTTAATGAAATGTTTTTAGCTAATTGATGAATACTGGCACCAAATATAAAACCCACCATAGAAACAGAGACTAATGGCATGCCATCTAGGACTTTTTTAAAATCATTAAAATTTAGTTCAGACTTTTGTCCTGAATTTATTTCATTTTAGGTATAGTTACAGTTACCCTAAATCATGTAAGATTACTTTTGAGGCAGTTTTAGAACTAATGTATCTCATACCAAAAAATATGTGACAACAGCACATTATGTCATATAAATTTTATATTTTAAATTAGCTGTCAGCATAGCCATCCTCTGATTTACTCACTGCTGGGGGCCAATGAGACTACATAGGTACTTCCTTTCTCTAAATTTCAGAGAAAATGGAATTCAGGTTTAACCAGTTCAAGCTGTGGCATCATTGACAACATTAGGTATGCCAGCCATTATGGGCAAAGTTTCTTTACCAAGTGATGCTGCATGGAATAGCTAATTGTCGAACTTCGGCAGAAGTTGGATTACAGTTCAGTATACTCTTGTATCACAGAGTCCAAAGAAAAGCAAGAGAGATTATTTTTCTGCTTGGCTGCCAATCGCTGTGCCTCTGATTCCTGTATTCCTTTCTATTTCAGTTTTTAATTGAGCATAAATGTCAATATTTCCTCCTTTTTCTCCTTCCCTCCCCCCTCCGCCCCCCCTTCTCCCTTTTTATCCACTGTAGGTGTTCAGCATGTTTTTGGAGACTCTGGTGGACTTCATTCAAGTCCACAAAGATGATCTTCAAGATTGGTTGTTTGTATTGCTGACACAACTATTGAAAAAAATGGGTGCTGATTTGCTTGGATCTGTTCAAGCAAAAGTTCAGAAAGCCCTTGATGTTACAAGGTAATACATTTCTTCATATATTTCAAATTTACCTGATAGTAATCAGGAGTATTTAGTTCCTATGTTAAAAGTAGAGATTTCCAAGTCCTTTAAAACAGTTTAGACTGCCTGGACTCCATTTGAAATGCTTATTCATATGGTATATTTAATCCAGCATTGTTGTTGTTGTTGTTATGTGCTGTCGAGTCAGACCCGACTCATAGCGACTCCTTCTTGGGTTTCCAAGGCAGTATCACTACGGAAATAGATTGCCCCATCTTCCTTCCGGGGAGTGCTGGTGGGTTTGAACCGCCAGCCTTCTGGTTAGCAGTCAAGTGCCTTAGCCACTAAGCTACCAGGCTCCCCATCCAGCATTGGTCCATACATAAAACACTAAATTTCTTTGTAAAAGTTTTATTTTTCAGTAATTCAACTTAGTATTTTATTTTCATTAAATTATATCTGCCAAGTTGAAAATTTCATTCAATCTGAAAAAATAAAAGTTATTTCCTAAATATAAGAATATTTTATTACACAATTAAATATTCAAATCTTTTTACAAAAGATTTTGAACCTGTGATAGATTTCTGCTTTCTTCTGTGGATTGCTGATGTGACTTACTTAAAACATCCACTTACTTAGTCCAAGTGAGTCTGGAATTCAGCTTTTAGGTATAGGGAAACAGTTTTGAAAATGTTGAAGTTTTTATTAAATACATTTTTCTATAGTCGAGGCATGATAGACTATTACTTACTGTGTTGTTGCTTTTTAATCCCAAACTGGGTATAAACTCAAGTATTTATCTTCTTCTGGGAATAGCTTTTATTGTTTGCTGTATCAAACAATTATACCACATATACAAACTATACTGCATGCATGCTTTTTCTATGACATTATGTTTTGGTATTAAATATAATCTTCTGCTATTAAGTTTGCTAAAGGCTTACTTGCAGACATACTTTTTGTTTTGTTCTTTTCTTCAGAGAATCTTTTCCAAATGATCTTCAGTTCAATATTCTAATGAGATTTACAGTTGATCAGACCCAAACGCCAAGCTTAAAGGTAATGATTTTAACTCTTTTGAAAACTTTGTAAGGAATTGAGTATTATATTGATAAAGTTGTGTTGGTATTTGTATTTTGCCACCCAAGAGGCTTTTCAATCAGTGGATTTTATTTTTATAAACTTTCAGACAGTCAAGCCAGCACTTCGGGACCAGCTTCACTCTTTTTGGAGCGCTAAGGTTTTTTGGTTTTATTTTAATCTGCATTATTTCTTTTCTTAACTCTCTTTATAAACTCTGCAGTGTTTCTGATAATGTTTGCATCTGTTTTCAACTACTAACATTTGTAAGCCTTTTAAGCATGCAGATACTTGATTTCAAATATTATTCAAATGCCAGCCTCTCCTTTGGGAAAGCTTACAAGGGATACACCTTTAGAAGGCATCACAATTATGGCTGTCTAACCCTAAGCTGGTAATGCAAACTCGTGATATAAAGTCTTATCTAATTTTATGTTTGTGATTTCCCAATACTTTTTTTTTTTTTTTTAATTTTAGGAGTTTTAATAGTTACTCTGGGCCAAATGTCAGATTTGCATATATATATATAGGAGCTCAGACCGCTGGTGGTTCAAACCCACCAGGCACTCCTCGGAAGGAAGGTTGGGCAAGCCTACTTCCGTAGTGATACTGCCTCGGAAACCCAAGGAGGGGTTGCTATGAGTCAGGGCCGACTTGATGGCACATAACAACAACAACAATATATATATTATATATATATTTTTTTTTTTAAGGAAAAGTTTTAAGTTTAATCTTGGTTCTATTATCATTTCTCCTTAACTGAATAATAGCAGTGTCTGCAGTGGGATATTGTGATGTGTGCATAAAGTTTTGAATTAGGATTAATCTTCTCAGTCATTTTTTGCACACATTTTCTGGTTAATTTATGATTCAAAATAATTATAAATATAAGATAAAAGATAAGCCCCTGAATTCTTTAGTAAAGAATTCATGTGAGTCATGTACAAGATATTTCTTAGTTTTAAATAAGGAATAGATTTTTTGTTGACGTCTTTTTTTGGGTTTCACAAACATGTTGAAGAATTACCACTTACAGTAGCTAAATATATATATTTCTTTTCCTTCTCTGATGAAGAATCTATATTTGCTTTATTAAAATCATAGATATGTATAATTTAATTTTAAATGAGAGAAATAACAAGCATATGTATATATACAAGCCTTTTATTTTTCTGCTCTATGCTGCACGATATATATTTGCACAAGTATTCCTACCTAGGATTGATTTTCCCCTAGGTGTCTAAATATGATTGTACCTCAAAATTACAATTATGTTTCTTATCAGGATTCACTTACATTCAGCATGTTATTGTCACAAAGCTGCTTTGTGAAAGCGATTCCATCTGCCTTGATTTTGTAAAGTGATTTTTACTGAAAAATTTACCTAATATTATTGATAAATATTTATTGATTTCATCTTATGTCTGAGGCATTGTGCTAGGCATTCCTGAGAGTAAAAAACTCATTATTGTGTGTCATTATTATCTGCAATATATGATAAATTGTAGACTCTTATAAGAGTCGGAAGGAAGATTGGGCAATCTATTTCCATAGAGATACCGCGTCAGAAACCCAAGGAGGGGTCACTATGAGTCAAATCGACTCAACGGCAGTGAGTTTGGTTTGTTTTTGTTTTTGTTTTTTGGTATAAGAGTTACAATGTCGGTACTGTCAAGTGCTGTTGATGAAAATGTTATGTAGAGATGTTTCGCAGGTTGATAGAAATGGAGGTATGAACCAACTTAAGAAGTACGAATACTGGGTGAGTTGAGAGGGAAAGAATGAAGTTGCTGAGGTCTTGAGAAAAAGACAATCAAAGGGAAAAATGAAATGGGAAACAGACAAATTAAAATTAGCTTTCTTGTTGGGAAACAGTATAAGGGAGACTGGAATTACAGACTCCTTTCTCTAAAATCCTAAAACACCACATTTTGTGAACTAGCAAATTCACAGGAGAAAAAATACTCTTCAATTAATGTTTTGTGATAGCAGAGAGGACATTATTTTTGAGCCATACCTTATGGCAAAATAAAAATAAACTTCAGGTGGGTGACAGAATTAAGTATTAAAAACTTAACACATTATAGAAAAACACAAATAACTTGGGTGTGAGACCTAGAAAAGTTCTTTATTTGAAAAATAATGTATCTTTCAAGTAAAAGATACATGTTCATATAAAATTTTAAATCAAAGATTGTCATATGATTCAATATCAGAAAGGAAGCAATAGAGTAGGGAAAAATAGCAATACAAAGTAACTATTTGAATTAGTAATATTTTTAAAATAAAATTTTTAAAAATTTTAAAATATTCCTTTAAAATAAGGAATAGCATTTTTGTTGACTTCTTTTTCTGGGTTTCATAAACATGTTAAAGAATTACCACTCACACTAGCTATTTAATTTTTTTTTTCCTTCTCTGATGAAGAGTCTATATTTGCTTTATTAAAATTATAGGTATGTATAACCTTATATAACGTTCTGCTGAAAGAAACTTTCAAATAATTATGTGTGCATATTGTGCCCATTTTGCCTGTAAGTATAGTAAACACATCTGATTCTGTGAAACTCTTTCAAAACTTTGCGTTCCCCTCCTTATTTCCACGGCATTGTGCTAAATGAATCTCACATAGTGGAAATCCAATCAAGTATTGATTGTGACAAGAACAAAATAATGCTGATGCTCATTTTTTGGATTAAATATAGTCACCTTTCAGATACTCCCATTTACAGAAGGCAACATGGCTTCAAGAATCCAGAATATTATATGCTGCATAATCTAATTAGACCTGACAATAACTACAAAGCTCACCCAAAATCTCTTTCCTTGATCACTGCACATTTCACCTACAATGACTGATAGGTTAACTTTCTGTTTTTCAGTACATTTCTTAAAAATTTTAATTCCTTCTTAAAATGTATTCATTGTGAAATGAAGAATGTAATTCAATCTGTTCTGTCATTTTTAGGGCTTTTTTATCCCCCAGCTGGAAGTAGAACATGAAAAAACTCCAGACCTTATTGTAGTAGTTTACTTCCTATATATTAACTTGGCATGACATTTCTTTATTCAGAATGAGTAAGGAAAATAATAACAAGGGAGAAAAGAATGTAGAAAAAAATGATTACCTTAATCTTTAGCAATATTTTTTTCAAATTGCTATCTTAATCATTTTTCTAAGTTAGCAAATCAGCAGTTAATATGTGCTTAATATTGTCCATATGCAAGGACTGTACACTATGCCATGTACCATTTCTAAAGTGAACAGATAAAATCTAACAGAATTATTATTTAGAAACCCTAGAATATTGGAAGACATGACTTTGAAACAGTGGTTCTCAATCTTTTAATCTGCTCCAGCATACCTGAAAGATAAAGAGCTATAAAGAGTAACCATAAGAAATACGTATGTGTGCTTTAAAAGTAGTCCACCCCTCAGGAGTAGCTCAAAGGACCTAGGGCTGAAGGGGCCCTAGGGATTCCCCTCCTAGAGTAGAGGAGGGCCACTTGGACTCCCAACCTTCACAGCCTCTGATTAGTTTAAAAAACAGAACTCAGTCCTGAAGAGTTGTCTTGAAGATTCTTCTGGATGGTGCATGGTCAGGTTAAGAGGAAAGTTGTATAATAAACAAAACTACTCCCCACCCCCCACTCTGGGGGGGAGAAGTTCTGGGTTTGCTTCATATGCATTTTTTTTAATCTCCCATGAAATAAAAAGACTCACACTGTCAAAAAAAATAAAAATAGTCCATCCTCTGGTGATTTTAAAGCCTGTTTGCCGCCACCACCACCACCACTACTACTTCCCCGTAATGCATACACACATCAAGAATTCCTGGAAAAGTAATGAGACTTTTTAAACCCACACACCATAATTCTTTTATACAAATAAGTATTGTCTTTTCTTCAGTGACACTTGTATAAAACATTTTTGTGACATTTCTTTTGGAAGAGAGTTCATTTTGTGACTCTAACCCATGTTTGACACACACACCCCACAAAAAAAGCCAATATTGCCCACCTTGATTACCCACTTCCCTTACTATACCTTATTTCTAAAATCTATGGTTTGTTTCTCTAAAAGCCGTATTTCACAGTTGATAAAGACTGGCTATGTAAGTTCCTAAGGCAGGCTGAAGGAGAAGTTTATAATCGTGTGAGAAGAATAAGTCTTCAGTGGTTGTTTAAACTCAGGGAATGAAACACTTGTGATTTGTGTTGAATGAATACAAGAAATGAAACATCTGCAAATTTGTGTAATTTCCTTCTTCTTGTTGATATCACTTAGTTGTTTCTAAAGTATTCTGTAGTGCCCTAATTGACTATTTAACTGCCCTCTCTTGTTATGCTTACCTCTGCAGGTAAAGGTTGCTATCCTTAAATATATAGAAACTCTGGCCAAACAGATGGACCCTGGAGATTTTATAAATTCCAGTGAAACTCGCCTGGCCGTGTCTCGGGTCATTACTTGGACAACAGAACCCAAAAGTTCTGATGTTCGGAAGGTGGGTTTTAATACAGAGTTTAGAAGATTAATTAGAAAAGCAAGTAAGTCATCTTGGATTGTCAGTAAAGGAAGCTAATATTTTCGGTTAACAGTGAATTATTTACCCAGTGATATGAGCTGAAGAGTACAATCATAAATTTGTTCCCTCTTTTTCATTTATTGTTGTTGTTAGGTACCATTGATTACTTACTAATTTTAGGCATTATCTATTGATAGTATTAGATATTATGTGTAACAATTGTCTGTCTTGGTAGATGAAGACTTAGCTTTCACATATCACCTCCACATTCTTTCTCATATCCTTCCCCGTGACCTTTAAAATAGTTATGTAATAGTTGTTATTAATCAGTAAAAATCATTTACATTTTTACTATGCAGGTATTCAGTCTTATCCCAAATGGTTTAGTACTACCTCCTTCTTTGAAGAAGCGTCATTTATTCTGAAATTAATAATTTGTTTTGATTTTCATTTGCCTGTTTTTTTTATGTTTTTAAAATATCTCTTAATATTTTCAGTATCTCTGCAACATGGCTATAACTAATATTTTCCATATGTTCAAAAACATAGGTTATTCATTCATTGGTTTTCTGAAGTGTCTTCCTAGACTCGCTGCTCTGCTCTTTGGGTACATTTCTCCCTAAGCCTGCTGCACAGGCATCTTCCTGGAACTTCTCTTTACCATTATCTTGGGACTTCTTGTTACCCTTAACCTATCATTTCTTAAATCCTATATCTAATGCTATTTACTCTTTACTGTGATAACTTATTTCTTTCAATATTTGATGCAAAGCAGTACATGGAATATAAATTTTGACAGGGTTTTTAGTCTTTTCCCCTAGTAACGAATACTCCACCCAAAAACAGCACACATTTTCTCAAGTGCACATGGAACATTCTCCCAGATACACCACCTACTAGGGCATAAAATAAACTTTAATAGTCAAAAGGATAGAAACAATGCAAGATATGTTTTTGACCACAATGGGATGCAATTAGAAATCAGTTAACCAAAAGAAATTTGGCAAACTCGCAATGTGGAAAACAACACACTCTTAAATAACTTATAGGCCAGAGAAGAAATCAAACTAGAAACTAGAAAAATAGTTTCAGATGAATTGAAAATGAAGACACAACATACGAAAACTTATGAGATGCAACTAAAGCAATGCTTGGAGGCAAATCTATAGCTGTAAATGCCTGTATTAAAAAAAAAAAGAAATATGTGAAATCAGTAGCCTAACCCTCAACATTATGACACTAGACAAAAAGAGCAAACTGAGCCTAAAGCAAGGAAGAGGAAAGCAGTGATAAACACAGAACAGAAATTAATGAAATAGCATGTAAAAGCAATAAAGATAATTACACCAAAAGCTGATTCTTCAAAAAGATCAGCAACATTGACAAACCTTAAGTTAGACTGACCAAGCATTAAAAAAAAAAAAAAAAAGTAGGACTCAGATTACTAGAATCAGAAATGAAAGAGGGAGTTTTACAACCAACCCTGCAAAATAAAAAGAATTCTTTTTGTTGTTAGGACTTATTTATTACACTTTTTTTAGAATCCCTTCTTGCCTTCAAGGAATAAATAGATCAAATATATTTTTATTCTTACAACAAAGAAATTTGAAAGGAAATAAGAACATTTATTTCCCCTGGGAAAAATAGCCAAACTTTATACTATTGAACAGAAATCTTGAAAGGCATATAATCTCCTTTGAGTAACCAAAATATATTCATGTCTTTCTTGTATACCTTTTTTTTCAGGCAGCACAGTCAGTGCTAATTTCTTTATTTGAACTCAATACCCCAGAGTTTACAATGTTGTTAGGAGCTTTACCAAAAACTTTTCAGGATGGTGCTACCAAACTTCTTCATAATCACCTTCGAAACACAGGCAATGGAACTCAGGTATTTCTTACTTATTTTCATGGCTATTATATAATGTGATGGGTTGTTTAACAAAAATTGCTTTATTTTGTATGAAGTAAACTTTTGAACATAGGATATAATATTTACATCTGTAGTGCAGCATTTCCTGAGCAGAAATACTGTTTTGGAAAAAACAAGAGTCCTTAGCTCCGTCAGGTTTATAATATAATTTGAGTAGTGGTTGGTAGTGGCTAGGGTATAAACAATGACAGCCATAAGTAAGCAGAACATAGGCGAGGATACCAGCTTTGGAAGCCATTATAATAAGAAAATGTTCCTACTATCCTAACTTCATGACTAGCTGGGATGACTTATTCTAGAGCTAACATATGTGAGGCCCAGAGGAGTAGTGTGTAGAAAAGTTTGTTCACAAGTAATGATTATAGGCCCATTGGTCCATATCTGCTTGGATATATAGGATTTTGTATTAGAGATATAAGATCTGAGTAAATGAAAGATTGAAGTGTTGTATATTTCTAAATAGTGTGGAATAATTTGCATAATATGCTTAAAGAATTGAATTTAAGTTTTAAAAGACAGACAAGCACACTTTTGATAATAGGTAAAAGAGACAGTAGAGCCACTGTTGGCAGGTATAAGGTAAAATTTGAAGGTTAAAAATAATCTGAGAAAAATTTCTAGTGAACCAAATTCAGGGATCTCTTTAAAAGGAGAAAAGATTGCTTTGTTACACTTAGACGAGCAAATTAATAATATGACCAGATTTTACTCCTTGAGTCTTTGTGAAAACTATTTTTAAAGTAAACTCAAGGAGGAATAAAACTTGAGCATTAGTAATTGTTGGAAGAAAAGAATTGGCTTAGAATAGGATGTTGTTGAATGAGGAAAAAGATGTTGATAATGTTTGAGAGCAAGGAGCTTAGGAGAACAGGGGAAGACTAATTGAGCATTAGATGTCTTAATGGAGAGGAAGTTTTCCCCACCAGAAACCTGAAATAAGTACATGACCATTTAATATATTGACCTATAAATACGAATGTTTCAGAGGTTTCAAACTAGTAATGGTATGTTTTCTTTAAGAGTCTTTTAGTTGAACTTACCTGTCATACCTACTTGTCTCTTCCTTTAGGGTTCCATGGGGAGTCCTTTGACAAGACCAACATCACGTTCACCAGCTAATTGGTCCAGTCCTCTTACTTCTCCTACCAATACATCACAGAGTACTTTATCTCCAAGGTAATAACAGAGTAATTTTCCATCATGGTTTGTATTTGCAAATTCTAATTCTAAAAAAAAAAAAAAAGAGAGACATATTAATATAATTCCAGTTGATTTCTGCTTGACTCAAAAAATCTTAGACAAGCAGAGATTTAGCAGATTGGAACAATTGTAAGTTCATTCCAAAGCTTACTCTTTATAGATGATGATAATGGAAAGAAATACATAAGGATATGAACATTTTGTATAAGTGAATAGGAAATCTATTGACACAGCTTTTGTAATTTACTACTTATTTGCATTAAATAGCATACTTTGTTTCTCAGAGATTCTCTATAAATCCAGCAAATAATAAAGAACAATAGAAAGAAAACAGGGAGGTACAGAAAAATTGTAAATTTTGTCTTTCAGGTATGTTACACTATCCGGTGTAAATCGGTCAAATTATAAGGATGGAGACTTAGATCTAATATTGCCCAACCACCTCTGAAAACAGAGGGAAAATTCACCTTATAGACAAAAACATCAAAGTTGAGAAGAACTAATAAAAAGGCATTATATATATTTTTAGGGAAAAATATGACTAAAAGATTGGTCCTTAATACAAAATATGAGATACATGTAATTCTCACATTCTTGGGCAATTCAAGCATGGACTGCACTTAAGAGACTAATATTTGTTACCTTTTTCTGTTTTTTTTTTCTTTCTTTCTTTCTTTCTTTTTTAAGTTTACATAGTAGTTCATATATGTAGTTCTTTTTGTTATTAGACTTTTCTGTAGAGGACCATATAGTAAATATTCTATGGGCCATGAGATCTTTCTTGCCACTACTCCATTGTTAGTTTACAGGCTATACAAAAGCCTTGGGTAGGGGTGGGGCTGGATTGGGACCACCGGTAGTTTGCTGATTAATCAGAACATTTTTGAAGATGAATAGGCAAATCATTTGTTTAGGGCTAGACTTTCTAGTATCGTTGCAAACTGAGGGGCAGAAGAGGCCATGTACTTTTACTCATTATTCCTGCCAGATTTTGTTTTGCTAATTATGCTTTGGGGAATATATACACTCTGATCCTGTCCTTATAAATATTTTCCATAATATGCTCAAATGTGTTTATATTTTATAATTGTACATAAGTAAAAATTAGATTTTCTTTTTCATAGTGCATTTGATTATGACACAGAAAACATGAACTCTGAAGATATTTATAGTTCTCTTAGAGGTGTCACTGAAGCAATTCAGAATTTCAGCTTCCGTAGTCAAGAAGATATGAATGAGCCATTGAAAAGGGATTCTAAAAAAGATGATGGCGATCCTGTGAGTATTTGAATATTCTTACATTATGGTTTCATATCTCATTAAGAGTGTTTTTTTTTAAAAAAAAACCTTTGCTGTTTGTCATTTTCAAATTGAGCTTTTTAGGAGTCAGTTACTTGTCTTTTATCTACCATATGCTAGGCACTGTTCTGGGTCTTGGTTATACAAGATAAAGTTCCTGCCCTCAAGTTCATTATATTCTGATGGGGAGAGATAGACAACATATAAGCAAAAAGTAAGAGTTTTTCAGATAGAGATGAGTATTATAGGGTTTTAGTTTAGAAAGTGCCTTAGAAGAAAGTGAGTATTTTAAATTGAATGGCCAGGGAAGGCTTCTCAGGAGGTGACGTTTGTACTGAAACCCAAAAAAAGAGAAGTGTGCATCAACAGAGAATGGATAAATGTAGTATAATGGGATATTATTCTGCCATAAAAAGGAATGAGGTTTTAATACATACAATAATATGAATGAACCTTGAAAACACTAAGTGAAATAAACCAGACACAAAAGGACAAATATTCTGTGATCCTATTTATATGAAATATCGAGAGCAGACAAATACCTAGAGACAGAATTAAGATTAGTGATTGTCATGGGCTAGGTGGAGGGGGGAATGAGGAGCTGTTGCTTATCGATACAGAGTTTCTGTTATGGGTGATGAAATTTTAGAGCCAGCATTGGGAATGTGAAAATGGTTAAAATGGCAAATTTTATGTGGTGCATAATTAACCACAATACAAAAAAAAAAAAAAAAATTCATGAAAACAAGAGAGAGAGAGAAGGTAGCCATTTAAGATATAGGAGAGGAGTATTCCACATAAGAAATAGCAAATGCAAAGATCTTAATTGGGAACAAGCTTTATGTAGTTGAGGGCCAGAAGGAAACCAGTGTAGGTAGAACTTTATGAAAGAGTAGAACCTGGGCCAGATCACACAGATCCTATGAGAGAAGACAAAGACTTTAGATTTATTCTCTCCTCGCCCCCTTAAGTCCAGAGGTACAAACTTCCATCGTTAGTCTTTGTGGCTCTAATTAAGGATGCTGTAACCCATCTTTGTGACATTTGTGGATATTATTGTTTAGTTTGTTGCTTCTGCCATTATACAAAGAGTAGTTTTGTTTTGCTTTTTTCTGGCATCTTAGGCTTTGCTGAAAACAAGCCATGCTACCATTTCCTATGGACTATTGTTTCCCATTGTTTGTAAAATTGCAGAACATTATGTAGTACATCAGCAAATCTCTAAAGGGCTCCCTCCTCTGCCCTTCTGACTTTTTCTTGCCATTATTTTCTCCCTGTGCCTATTCTGGCAGAGCTAGTTGTAGTGGGCCTTGTAAGCTGGCTGCCTGAAACCATTTTACCTCTCATATTTGGGTTCTTACCCTAGTGAGCTTAAAGTACTCAGCTGCTAACCGAAAAGTTAAAAAGACCTGATGATCCTGTAAAGATTACAGCCTAGAAAACTCTATGATGCAGTTCTATTCTCATTATGGGTTGGAACTGACTAGTGGCATGAAACACATACACACAAAAGCTTCTTGTGGTAGCAGTAACAGGTTAATAAGAAGCACTGCTTGATTGAGACTCAGTTATTTTGTTTTTTTAGGAGACAGCACGGCTTGGTGCAAGAAGCTCAAATAGTGGATTCTGAAAGAAGTGAATTTTAATCCTGGTTCTTTACCACTTCTAAACCTAAGTGTCTTCATTAGGAAAATAGGGTTGTAACCACCTACTTTAAAAGTTATTGTGTTGTCCAGTTTTTGTATGTATATGAGGCAGTTGAAAATGTCATGGCTTAGGTTAGGTGCACCTTAGTCATCAAAGAGACAACTTTGCTTCTTTAGTATTTTAAAGAGGTCTTTTGCAGATTTGTCCAATGTGATACATTGTCCATTGCGATACCTTTAATTTCTCAAAGAAGAAGTTATTGTGATGTAATAAGTCATATAACTCCCTCTAAGGATCTCTGGTGGTGTAGCAGTTAAAGCATTTGGCTGCTAACTGAAAGGTCGGTGGTTCAAACCCACCAGCGCCAAGGGAGAAAGATTTGTCTGCTTATGTAAAGATTTTCAGCCTTGGAAACCCTACGGGGCAGTTCTCCTCTGTCCTGTAGGGTCACTGTGAGTCAAAATCAACTTGATGGCAGTGAGTTTGGGTTTGGGTTTGGTTTATGACTCCCTTTGGCTCAGATCTCTCTTCTGAACTCCAGACTCATACATTCAGCTGCCTATTTGAACTCCTGATTTCTCTCCTAAAACTGCTCTTTCTTAATTCAATTGATGTTTCTCTATTTGCTCAGACAAAAACTTTGGACAAAAGAGTTGTCCTTGACTCCTCTCTTTTTCTCATTCTCCACACTCAGTCCGTCAGGAAATTTTTTGTCTCTACCTTCAGAATATATCAGAATCCAACCGTTTCTCACCACTACCTTTCTGGTCAATCATCATCAACCTTTTCACCTACATTATTAAAATAGAGACCTCATTGGGCTCCCTGATTTTGCCCTTGGCCACCCTTATAATTCTCTAGCATTTCCTGTGTCAGTGTAAAAGCCAGTCTACAAAATAATGATCCTATTACATCTCTGACCTTATCTGCTGCTATCCTCCTTGTTCACTCTACTTCAGTCATGCTGGCCTTCTTGTTCCTTGAACTTTCCAGGCATCTTCCCCACCTCAGAGCCTTTGTATTGGCTGTTACCTCTCCTGAAACGCTGTTTCTCCAGATAGCCCCATGGCTAATTCACTCATTTCCTTCATGACTTTGCTCAAAAGACTTCTCAGGGAACCCTGATCTGGTCATTCTGATTAATCTGCAGCCTTGCCTTCTACTTTAGCACTCTTAATTTTGCACTACCTATAATTTTTGCCCATACACTAATCACCTTCTAATATATGATATACTTAGTTCATTCATTATGGTTTTTTATCGTCTCTGTCCCTCCACTACAATGTAAACTACATGAGACTAGACATCGTTTTCCCTTTTGTTCACTAATAGATCCCCAATGTCAAAAGCAATACCTCGCTCATAGTAGGTACACAGTAAATATCTGAAGAATATTAGTAAATTGCCTAGCAAACTGCCTGACATATACAGTTGCTCGTTAGATGGTGGTACTGCTAGTCATAGGGTTTTGATACTAGTGTTAGTATTTTGATTAATATTTTAATGGACCCAAATGCCATCAGACATCTTTCTAAAAGTTATGCAGACCTTTTAGGCCTGTTTTGGTTTTGTTTTTTAAAAATTTGTTTTTCTTACACTTTCTTGACCTAATTGTTATTTTATAGTTTATTACCTTGATGGTAGAATCTAGCTGCTTTTAGTTTTGTGTTACTACTTAGTCCTTTTTTGTTAGTCCTTTTGTATATTTTGAGAAGCTATAATATATATACAAGGAGCTCTGGTGGCTTAGTGGATAAAGCATTTGACTGCTAACCAGAAAGTCAGCAGTTCATAACCCACCAGCTGCTCTGCGGAAGGAAGTTGGGGCAATCTACTTCTGTAGATTGACAGCCTTAGAAACCAGTGGGTTTTAGTATGAGTCAGAATCGACTCCATGGCAGTGAATTTGGGTTTTTTGTTTTTAATAATATGTGTATAATGAATCTGTTGCTAATCAGGTTGAATATATTGTCTGGTCAACCCAATGGCAAGGGAACTATAATAATCATTAGGGGCAGCATTTTTTTATGGTTTCTTATTTGTCCTCACAGCTGTGATCTGTATTTTATTATAAACTTTGACTTTTGAGTATGTGTTAACTCATTATGTTGATTGCCATTACTTAATTATTTTCCAGCTGGTTATTATTGCCTTTCTTAAATATATCTGTCTAAACAATAAAGAAATGTCCTCTTAGAATTTTGAAGAGATTTGAAAATGAGTTCATTTGCTATGTCTTCTCAACAGATGTGTAGCAGTCCTGGAATATCCGACCCGAGAGCAGGAGGTGATGCTACTGACTCAAGCCAAACAGTTCTTGATAATAAAGCTTCCTTGCTCCATTCGATGCCTGCTCACTCCTCTCCACGCTCTCGAGACTATAATCCATATAACTATTCAGATAGCATCAGTCCCTTCAATAAATCTGCCCTCAAGGAAGCCATGTTTGATGATGATGCTGACCAATTTCCTGATGGTATGTTCTGGGTCACAATGCTACTACCTGTGTTTTGGAGGACTGGTAATTAATGAAACAAAAGCAATATGTGTGATCTTTTATTGTAACTCTCTAAAAAGCAAGGATCTTGGGGACAGGAATTTTTTCCCCATCTCTTAGGGGCTCATTACTGGTGGTTTGCTAGTTTCTTTTCTCAAAATGCAAAACTGGTAGTCATCTTGAGATATCCTGGAAATCAAGAAATCCTTAATAACCTCCTATTCACTATCTATCAGTGAACAAAAGGGAAAATGATGTCTAGTCTCATGTAGTTTACATTGTAGTGGAGGCACAGGGATGATAAAAAACAACTAAAGCCAGTATGCACTTATGTTGTTGTTGTTGTTATGTGCCATCGAGTCGGACCCAACTCATAGCGACCCTTCCTTGGGTTTCTGAGGCAGTATCTCCACGGAAGTAGATTGCCAAACCTTCCTTCCGAGGAGTGGCTGGTGGGTTTGAACTGCCAGCCTTCTGGTTAGCAGTCAGGTGCCTTAGGCACTACGCTACCAGAGCTCCTAGTATTCACTTACAGCTTACGAATTTAGTTTGTCTCTAGATATAATTCACTCAGTCATTAATTTTTATATTATAATAACAAAATCCTTTGAAAGAATACCCATTCTTAAAATAACTTTGCTGAATGAAAAAAATATCTTCCTCTGTATTATTAGTGAGGTTAATCATGTTTTTACCACCTTCTCATGGGAAATTATAACAACTTTACAGTCTAAGGAAAAATTGTATAAATATCTGTAACATTGCCACCAGTAGGCACTTTGGTATGTTTCAGTCATAGCTGCATATATTGCTTAGGTTTAGTCATGATAGCAATGTAACAGGAGTGAATAAATTTAGACCAAGCACGAAAGTATCCTTTGAACCCTGAGTAGTAGCAACAGCCCAGTAAATTGAGGCTTAGCTTTACAAACTTCACTCATTTAAAAATTACTTACTCACAGAGATCACAACCTGGCAGGCCAGATTGGACCCACTGACATTACTTATCTCAACTGTACATATGTATATATGTATATAATTTTAAATAAAAACTTAAAAAGTTGGGGTACAGTATAAAGACCTGTTTTTTCCTACACTGTTTAAGTTGCCAACTTGATGCTCCATCAACCCACATACTTCAGGTTATATTTCCTATAAACAGACATTCTCATACATAACCACAATGTACTCATCAAAATCAAGAAATTATCATTGGTACATGAGAGTTTTACTAGTTGTACCAATTCTGTCTAATAGCCAAAGGATCCAGTTCAGAATCCCACATTGCATTAATCATCCTGTCTCTTTAGTGTCCTTCAGGGTGAAACAGTTCTTAATGTCACTTACAAAAGGTTAAAGTCTAGTTACTTTGTTCATTTCCCTCAATTTGGGTTTGTCTGATGTTTCCTTATGATTAGATTCAAGTTAAACATTCTTGGCATCATTATCGCAGAAGTGATGGTGTGTTCTTTATAGCATCCTATCACGTAGCACACAGGTTTTGCCCCATGACTAAGAATGTTAATTTTGACCACTTGATTATGGTGGTATCTACCAGGCTTCCTCACTGTTAAGTTATTCTTTTTTCTTTGTAATTAGTAAATGTTTTGTGGGAAGATGTTTCTGCATACATTGCAGACAGGCATACACATAAATAAATTTATCAAAATTAAGAATAAAAAAACTAATGTCTACATCTAATGATAACCTTTGTAAATTTATCAGAGACTATAATATTCCAGAATATTATTTCCAGTAAGCATGATACTATTCTTTAAGGTATACTCATATCACAGTTTTCCAATGTTAAAGAATAGTCAGTATTTTTTGAGCACTGACACAAAAATACTACAGAATTCTAATTGTGCCAGTACTGGTCAGAATATATAAGGAAAATGTTGGTGACTTTACTGTATTCAAGGCCCAGGTTCTCACCTTGACTTAAATGGGAGCTGTTATCCCATTTTACTGATAAGAAAACTGAGCCAAGCAGTAATGAATAACATGTCCCAGTCACTCAGAGTATAAGAGGCAGAGGTTTAATGAGACTCCAAAGCAAAGGAAATACAATTGATTACAGTTTGTCTTGATTCATTCAGAACCTTAGGTGTATCATTGGTATAATATTAAATAGTTCAGTTTTGTACCAAATGTTATATGCTTTTTTTGGTGGAAATTGTTTTCATGTCAGTCATCTATCCAGACCTTTAGATGTCAAGTCATTTCTGTTATCTCCTGGAGCAGTTAGAAGCATCTTCTTGTGAACTCCCTTATTCACTGAAATAATACTCTTACCGAGTGATCTCTGACATCTGTGAAAGTCTCAAGCTTATAATTGTCCAGGAGTGATTTTTGTGCGGTTTATGGAGATGCATTTAACCTGGTACAATAGTTCTTAAGCCAATGATATTAGTTTATACAAATTACATTTTTCTGGACAATTTTTGTGTTCCAAACCAGGTCTTGTCTTTGAACTCAGAGCTTTTTTATTTTTGTTTTTTATTGTTTTCTTTTTCATAGTTTTGTTCTGCATTTTACAGAAGTTCTTCTTCTTGATCTTCTAAAACCCTGATTTGGTTCTCCTCATTGATCATTATTTTGCAGATTGCCTTGAGTTTTTAAATTCAATAAACAAATTCCATCCTTTGCATATGAGTGTTTTGGGGAACCAGAGGCTCTTGGTGTTATACTTACAGGTCCTTGAAAATTAGCCTCACAAACTTCTAGTCAATAAATGTTGTCATTACATTTGGTTGGCGTAGTGTTAACCAGAAGGCTGGTGGTTCAAACCACCAACCTTGGAAGGAAGGTAGGGCAATCTATTTCTGTAGTGATACCACCTCAGAAACCCAAGGAAGCATCACTGTGAGTCGAAATCAACTCGATGGCAGTGAGTTTGATTTTTGGTTTTTATCTTCTACTAGTTTTACTTCTGTAGAAATCATCTGTTCTAGTTGTTCAGCATGATTTCCTTTTCTCAGTTCTCAGAATCCTCTTAAGTGAAGTAGAATTTTTATATCTCTTTTAGCTATGGGTTCCCTCAAGCCTGTGTCAGTCCATTTGTCTCTCTAGACAGGCTAACCAACAAGCTGGATAAAGCACAGTAGCTTCTGTTCTTATGGGCCAATCATGAACCGTCTAGCAAACTGCCACTTCAAGATTCAGTATCAGGAAAAGTTCTCTTTCCTCTTGACCTTTTTATTTTTGTACATAGCAGTCCTCTTAGAGAGGAATCTACAAGCCTTCCCTAGTCTACTGGGATCACTGAGAATAGGCAGCTCTTTCCAAAGCAATGGCCAGTATGCTCATGCCTGTGGACTCACAGAGAACACAGCTCTTTTCCTGAAATACAGGTCTCTTTCTTAGAGACCTGGGGTGGATGGTGGCCCCAGATATACCCTCCCAGCTCAGGCAGCATACTCTTTGTTGGTTTTATTCCAGGAAAGAATTAGGAAGAAGATGAATTTATCACCCAAGCTCAGGTCACCCACCACTTGCCAAGATCCTTATTATATATTTGATCATCAAAAGAATTTAGGAAGAACTCTGGTATTTTGTCATATTCTAATTTGAACATTTAGATTTAACTCTCTGAAAAAAATTATTAAAAGCAGTATATGATAACTATAAATGAAAAATAAGTAATAAGAGTTCTGTAACATTTATAAAACTTATGAGTTAATAATTATACCTTCAAATAAAAAAAAAAATCAAAACTTGGTAACCATTAGCCCAACTCCTGAATCTGAAATTTAAATGGAAATATACTAAGTAAGCATTTATTCTGCTTTCCTATCAAACTATTTCAGGGTAATTAAATAGCTCCCAGCACATGGAAGAAGTGGTGTAACTAGAAAGTTACCACTTTTAATTCTAGTACGATAGTTCAACAACAAGTAAAGGGTAAAACCATTAGTTAAATGGTTGATGGGCAACTTGAGTAAGGTGGGATCAGGCTGTCACCACTTAAAACCAGTGGTCGTTATTTGTATCACTAGAAGTAGAGTGCCCAGATATTATGGCACCTTAGAGATGCATATTGATGTATGTAGGGATGAAATGACATATTTGAGATTTGCTAGAAATACTCAGGACAAAAGGAGGGCTAAGATGAAGTAAAAATGATAAAATCTTGGCAATTGTTAAATATGGGTGATAGGTTTAAGGGAGTTGATTATACTGTTCTCTTATGTATTTTTTTCATTATAAAATTATAAAATATAGAACTGTTATTATAAGCATGACAGAATTGAAAATTACTTGATGTCATCTTTTTTTTTAAGTATGAATTTTATTAATTTATTTATTGGCTGTACATAAGCAGCCTCAGCAGATACTCTTTTTTATTGTTGTAAATATCCCTATCACACAGTCAATTCAACTTTATACAGATACACAACTTATTGACAGCAGTTATAATAATAGGCTGTGCAACCCCACTCTTAACTCAATGCAGCATTTCCATCACCTTTAATCCCCCTACCTTTTTTCCCCTCCTTTCGGCCCGTTAACCATTAATAAATGTTCATCTCTGTACATTTGCCTTTTCTTGTCTTTTTATGTAAGTGAAGTCACGTAACATTTGTCCTTTAGTGATTGACTTACTTCACTCAACATGATGTTTTCAAGCTCCATCCATACTGTAGCATGTATCGAGACTTCATTTCTTCTACTGGCTGAGTAGTAGTCCATTGTATGTATGTGCCACATGTTGTTTATCCATTCATCTGTTGGTAGGCATTTAGTTTCCAGCTTTTGGCTATTGTGAATAGTGCTGCAAAGAACACTGGTTTGAAGTCTCCTTTTGAGTCTCTGCTTTCAAGTCTTTTGATTATATACCTAGGAGTAGAATTGCTGAGTCATATGGTATGCATTCCTACCAGCAGTGGATAAGGGTTCCAGTTTCCCCACATCCTTACCAACATGTGTTTTCTTGCTTTTTTTTTTTTAATCTTAGCCATTCTAGTGTTAGGGAAATGATATCTCATTGTGGTTTTGATTTGCATCTCTAATGGCTAATGATGTTTACCATCTTTTGATGTGTTTGATGGCCATTTTAATGTCCTCTGGGGAAATGTCTGTTCCAGTCCTTTACCAATTTTATGATTGAATTTTTTTTTTTATAAACAACATTTGTTGTATCTGTTTTATAATGTTATCAAGTTGTCTTATCAATACTTATAAGAGTTGATTGTTAAAGTAACAGAATTAATTTCATGTCCTTTTGACAGATCTCTCCCTTGACCATTCTGACCTGGTTGCAGAGTTGTTGAAGGAGCTGTCCAACCATAATGAACGAGTAGAGGAAAGAAAGATTGCCCTCTATGAACTTATGAAACTGACACAAGAGGAATCTTTCAGTGTTTGGGATGAACACTTTAAAACAATATTGCTGTTATTGCTTGAAACCCTTGGGGATAAAGAGGTAAATGGTGAAAAATGTAAACAATTACTTTTCTTCCTGTCTTTTTAGATTGCCTCTTAATCAGGCACTACAGAGATTCAGAAATGGGGACAAATTTGTCTCTCCTGTTGCTTCCTTTTCCATAAAATTTTAAGTACAAATATCACTTTCTTTTAAACCCAGTTGTACCCATGAGAAACTAGCTTACCAGTTTTAAATAAATGACACTGGGAAAAACAAAAGGTTATAGGAGAGAATGGCTTACTTGTTGTGCATGTTGAAATTGGTATTTCTGAAGTAAAACTTCCTTTTTAATATTCAAAATATATTGCTTAATTTCCTACAAGTAGGAGAATATGATAAAGGTTTTCAACTATAGAGAGGTGAAAACTTATGTCATACTTTATGCAGGTGTCTATTTCCCCCCATTATTAACTGCCAAAGGGGCAAGGAGGCCACATCTTCTGACCTCCTCTAACCCCACAAGAGGAGGACAGAATCACCATCAGTAGCCCAAGGCTTATTCCTGCAAGGCCAGACGTGCTGGCTTCCTCCAGCCATTTGACCAACCCTGACACCAGCCATTCTTCCCGTAGCACCCACCACCTCTTTGCTGGGTTCGATAATTTGCTGCAGTGGCCACACAGAACTCACAGATTATGAGGTTTATTAGGGAGGCAACAGGCTACAATTCAAGCTCAGTCTTTCCCAGCAGTGCTTGTCTCCTGCACTCTCTCTCTCTCTCTTTCTCTCTTGCTCTTTCTCTCTCTCTCAGCAGTACATGTCTCTCGGTGTCTCTCTCTCAGCATTGCATGTCTCTCGCATCTCTGTCTCAGCAAGCGTGTGTCTCTCAGGAGGGTGTTTCTCTCAGTGGTGCATCTTTCTCAGCCAGCAGTCAGAGAGACTCCTTCTGCCTCTAGGAGGGTGCTTTTGAGCCTGGCAGAGTGCCCAAACTAACCAATCCCAACATCAGAATTCTATACACCTGAAAGAACTTCCTACAAGATTGCTTCCTGCCACTCTCAACAGAAAAACTCCAGGTGGATAACTTTAACAATCATGAGCTGTTCAGTTGCTCATGGCAAATTCTACCACAGAGTTCACAAAGACTTAGGCTAGAAAAACCACACTATATAATCTACTATACTGCATGAACCCTTAAATTATAGAAATTAAAAAGATTGTCTGCAACCCCAAAACATTAAAACTTATGTTTCTTCTCAGCCTACGATCAGAGCTTTGGCACTAAAAGTTTTGAGAGAAATCCTAAGGCATCAACCGGCAAGATTTAAAAACTATGCAGAACTGACTGTCATGAAAACATTGGAAGCACATAAGGATCCTCATAAGGAGGTAAGTTATCTGATAGTTAAATTATGATTTAATCTCAGTAATTCTGATATTATTACACAGAATATAGAAACATTACTTGAAAAGTATCTTAATTGACTTCCAGTAAGATGGAGGAATAGGCAGACAAGCGACACAAGCCCTCTTCAAAAAAGAAAAAAAAAACAGTTGACACAGATAAAGAAGATAATCATGAAGCCCTGAGCTTTGAAAGGAACTATGCAGAAGTGGATTAGGCACCAACTAGTGGAAAAACCTGAATGAAAACATTGAGTACAGAGATGGTCAGAGCTGCGGGCTGTCAGCTACTCTGACGGAACCAACAGCCTGAATAATTCCAAGTGGTGTTAGGACCTGAGAATTGACCTAAAGATCAGCCCTGGTCACCAAGTGCTGCAGGGACAACTGCTCTGGTGGCCAGTGACTAGGAAGGGAAACAGCAAGTAGTGAGACAACCTGAGCTGTTGACTTTCTGCTGTCTGGAAAGCACAGCCATTTTGATTGTTTACATGTGGCAGCCATTTTGGATATTTAAAGTGATTGAGGGTGCAGCCATTTTGAATGTTTACAAGCAGTGGCCATTTTGGATATTTAAAGTGACCGAGGGTGCAGCTGTTTTGAATCTTTACAAGTGGCAACCATTTTGGATTTTAAAGTGACAGCATTCTCATTTGGATTCCAGGGACCTAAGAACAGGCTCTCTTTCCCAAGGTCGGCAGGGACATATGAGAGGCTGACAACAGGAAAGGAGATAGGTGGTGAGTGTATAAGTGTTGTCAACTAGTGAATAGAGGAGCACAGCACAGTATCCTGCTTGCATAGATCACATACAAATAAAACAAAACGAAAATCATGAGCAAGTCACTCCAACATACAATCACCAATTAAATATAAACACAAACACTTCACAATGCCTCAGAGACAAGAGAGCATCACAGTCCTCACAAAGAAGCAAGATAAAGCAGGAGAAACAAGGGATCACGATAGAGACCCAAAACACATGTCTGAGGAAGACACAGCATTAGAACTCCCTGATAAGGAATTCAAAAGAATTATATTTAGGTATCTTCAACGAACTGAGAGACAGATCAAGGAAAGCACAGAAAAAACCCTAGAAGAATTTCAGAAGAAAATATAAGAACAAAATGACAAAATAAATGAAAAATTAGAAATGATTCAAAATCTACAGATAGAAATCTAGAAGATTAATACTAAATTATCAAATAGATAACACATTGAAAGGGCAAAGGAGTAGAATTGATTCAGTGGAAGACCGAATTAATGAGATTGAAGACAAATACCTTAATACTTCTTTGGAAAGGGATCTGTCAGAAAAAAAGATCAAAACAAAATGAAGAAAGCCTAAGGCTCATGTGGGATACTATCAAAAGGTAATACCTACATGTCATTGGAGTTTCAGAACAGGAAGAGAAAAATGAAACCACTGAGAAAATTGTCCAAGATTTGTTGGAGGAGAACTTCCCTGATATGATGAAAAATGAGAATATATCCGTTCAGAAAGTCCAACGAACCCCAAACAGGATAGACCCCAAAAGAAAATCACCAAGACATATCATCATCAAACTCGCCGAAACCAAAGACAAAGAATCATGAGTGCAGCCTGGGAAAAACAAAAAGTTACCTACAAGGGGCAACCGATATGACTAAGCTTGGATTTCTCAAGAGGAACCATGCAGGCAAGAAGACAATGGGATGGTATATATAAAACCCTGAAAGAGAAAAATTTCCAACCAAGAATTATATACCCAGCAAAACTGTCCCTCAAATATGATGGTGAAATTAGGACATTTCCAGATAAGCAGAA